TCTTGATTAGCGTGCTGATCGCTCTATTTTGTGTGTCCACTACCTCGTTTTGTGCGCTAATTTTGACGATAATCAAATTGGATAAATTGTTAGTGTATTTAGGGCATTGACGATATCCCGATCACAATGGCATAGTCCGTTTTACGATCAGACGTCATTTAGGCGGCGACGAGGCCTAATTCCCTTGAAATGCGCGTTGTCTCGAAATTCGTGTCACACGTATGGATGTTTCAAATTGAATAAAAAAATGCAGTTTCCAAAGGTTAACAACATTCCGGACGCAATGGCGTTGTCCGTTTGTCGATCCGACATCGTTTCGTCACCGACGAGGCTAATTTTCCTCGTGATGCGTACCTTTGCAACATATTTAGATCACCTTTAAATTCACCACCATCTCGGATGATCAAAATTTATTAATCTGTTTGACAGTCGGAGGTCATGTCATTTCCGTAGAAGTGAATTTTTGCAATATGCGCGTCATTGCGTTATATTGGGATTGCCTGAGATATGTGCCACCAATATGGGCGCTTCAAATTGAAAACAAAAATTACAGTTTTTAGAGGTTGACATTTATTCCAGGACGCAACGGTGACTGAAGTCCGTTTGTCGATCCTACATTGTTTGATTAACCTCGCCGCTTTTAATCATCGAGGTCGGCCATCCCTTTTGAATTGATCTCGTCTGATTCAATTTACTGAGGCGGCCTCGACTAAGCAGAATTTCGAAGTATCCTGATCCGCAAACGATATCATCCATTTGGCAATCAAAGATCATTTAATCCCTTAAGTGATGCGTTTTTGTCAATGCAACACATTTGCCTAAATGATCGTTTTTTTTGCTTTTTCACATGGTTTATATATATGGGCCGCAACAAATTTGCCCCCCAAACAAATTGGGTACAGCGTCCTAGAGCGGAATCACGTTGGTTCTCTAGATATCGTTCTAGGATTTCCACACTGGAATTTCCATTAGTGGATGTCCAAGAATTTGCTTCGGATGTCACAGTTGGCTTTTCATTTATAGGGTTCTCTAAACTTGTTTAGATGTCCACACTGTCTCTTTGAGGTGATCACCTAAAAATTCGCTGTCGATGTCACACTAAAAATTTTCTAGTGGCGATCTCCAAAATTTATGTTGGATTGTCACACATAGGATGTTCATTTAGGGATCTCTAAAGTTTGCTTGGAGTCATGTCACCACTATAGTTCTTCATTTAGTGGATCTCCAAATGTTTGGACGTCACACTAAGATTTTTCTTGTCGTGGATCTCCAAAATTTTGTTTTGGGATGTCCACACTAGATGTTATTTAGTGGACTCCAAAAAAATTTATTTGGATGTCAACACTAATTTTCTTTCTCCACTGCTCTTTTAGACATGGTCCATGGAGGTTGATATCTTGTCTTTGTAAGATTGATGTAACAGTGATTTATTTTTGCTCAAGATTCTTCTATCATTTGTTGTATTTTAATGAAATTTTAATATTTATTTGGCGGGATATCGACATGCAGGGCGATGTCGACCCAATAAAATATTTAAAAATGCCCCAGTCTTACGGACATTCGTAATGTCTATCCAGGTGCTCCTTTTGCGGCCTGGCTTGAGTCTTGAGATTATTGTCCTTCTGTCCTGCTGTTTTGTTGCTGTGGACTTGGGAATGGGTTGTCTGATTTATCTTTGGTGACTTGTCAAAAATTTGTACGCCTCTGCCCTTGCTCTAGCTTTGGTGGCTTGATGAAGGCGGTAGATGCAGGTGACCTAAACCCTTAGGTTTGTATAGGTCACGGGTGTTGCGAAGAGTCATCGGTCGCTGAGCTTGTGCAGAACGGACTTGTGATGACAGAATCCACTATAGTTCAGCCTTGGCTTTCATGAACTTTAGGATAATTTTCTCGGGTCCTTTGCTTTGTGCTTAGCGGGACTTGTGAGAGATTTACAGGTTTTGGATTAAGTTCTAATAGTACCAAACGAGGTAGTATCTTATCCTCAACCACAGAGAAGGACTTTAATCTGAATAACTTGAGATTCATCGATCGTGAGAGCTAGAAATTTTGATAGCTCTTCAAGGTCGCTCTGATTGCCGAATGGGGTTCCTCATACTGCCGGGCCTTCTTATGCTTGTTAAGTGACGGAGCTGCCAGCGATCCGGCCAATTTTGGCTTGTTGGATCACAGATCCTCTGTTACACCCTATTCTTACGTCTTTCTAGTACTCTGAGCATATAGGGGGTGGAATTCTGCAGGTTGCCTCCCTCGCTCAAATACGTGGATTTATTGTCTACCTAGTCCTGTAATGTAGTAATATGTAGTCGGAGTCCTGCCTATATACCTTTCCGGTGTTTTCTCCCCAGAATTGGATGCATCGTGCATACAGCTTCTAACGAACATTCAGTTAGTTGTTCGAGACCTCATCCTTTTCTACTGGTAACATTGATTCTCCAGCTTAAGAGATATTTGTGGGTACTTGAGCGCTACGATCACTTGAACTCGCTCGAATGTGTTCAGTAGCTCCAATTATAGAATTAGCTTTACCTTTGTTCTGTTTCCTACTGAGTCATCCTCCTATGTAGCCGGACCGACTGTACTTTGAGTGGGGGATCCCTTCCTCGCTCATGTGTGCACTGACAAATGGCGGCCTGCCTCTTTTCTCGTTATATAGCTTGTTTGATAGTAGACTAGGACCTCCAGACTCCGATGCCTGTTAACAGACAATCCATGAAGCCATAAACCTCTCGCGATCTGTCGTGAGTGGGGGCCGTGAGCGCGTGACGTTACACCCATTTCAAACTCACATTAAGCTCTTACAGGTCTGTCGAAAAGTATCTTCCACAGCCTTCTTCTCGGTATTCATACTTCCATGTATGGGATTGGCATAATGCCACAAAGTCTCTTTCATTGAGGAAATCTTTTAGAGTTTCTATAGTTCGTTGCTGACCCGTGATACCTCTAACCTCTCTCTGCAACGTATCACCTGCATACGAATGTTATTTACTTTCGAAAAAGAGAATCTTTCGCTTAAATTCTTACTCAGTGCATAAAATAGATAAGGTATATATATTGAAAAGTATCGACTCTCCTCTCAAAATGACTCTATGTCCGCCAGCAGTACGTGCTCATCAAGGAACACATCAAAGCGGAGAACAAAACCCAAGCAAACACCGACCCCCGAAATGTAAACGACACCGGAAAATAAAATAATATAAAATAAAAATGCATTAAAATGCCCCCTATCTCGCAAGGACATTTTAGAATAGAATAAATTTGGACTTTTGAGATTTTAAATATTCATTTGGGGATCTCGGCGTGTAGCACAATGTCGACCCAAATAAATATTTAAAATGCCCCCAGTCTGATGGAGGATTTTTGAAATGCATCTTGTTATACAAGAGAATTTCAAAATACAAATGTATTGCTTATAAACGTATACGAAATACATAGCATTTTCTTGGGCAATTTTATGCGTGGTATTTCTTTAGATATCGATCGTTGTCGGCGGTATATGTCTCTGATCCTCCAGGTCGAATAACTGATAAGATTCTCCATGAAACACTTTCTAGATAATAAAGGAGCCCTGCCAATTGGATACGAATTAGCCACCAATTTTTTAGTGTGGAATGATTGATCTCCTCAGCACCAGGAACATAACACTCGACCTTTTGATGTATCAGCTCATCAAATATACATGTCATTACCCGTTGATAGGTGACACTAGTGTTCTTTAGGATAAAAGGCATGACTGTGTAGCAGAATATGCCTATAGATGTTCTGAATCATGTATACGTTTCATCTTCAGTCGGCATCTTGATTTGATTGCATCACCTTGTTAATGTCCC